TCATTTAATGTTGGCTTGAAATCAGTCCGACTAGAAAATAGCTGGAAAAGAAATTTCAAAGTGGACAGGAATATTTGCAAGATTTATAGCGAGAATTATTAAGGGGGAAGATACATATAGAACAGTAATTTTTTCAGGTTTTTCGTGTTGTTTTTTTAACTAATAAGCAATTGTGCTGGGATTTCGTAACTTGGAATGTTGAATACATTGTTCTTTTATAATTTTAACCAATTTTTATTTTTTTCTAACTTAAAATTGCGGAAGGAAGCGTTTCCGACCCTATAAAGTACATATATTCTTGATCAGGATCACTAGCCGAGTCGATATAGCCATGTCCGTCTGTCTGTCTGTCCGTATAAACGCTGAGATCTCGGAAACTACAAAAGCTAGAGGTTCGAGATTTCCTACACATATTCTTGGGCTTCCTACGCAGCGCAAGTTTATTTCAGCCGAGCGCCACACCTTTAAAGATTTCCGAGAAGTATAAATGCAATTTTGTTGTATATATTTATACCCATCGAAATGTAGAAGACATTTTTCAAATCGGACCATTCATTAAAAACTTTTGCGCAATCAAAAAAATGGTATATATCCATCTCTCTCGCACTCCCTTTAGCCGAGTGTCGGGTATAAGATAGTCGGGACAACAACCCGACTAAAGCGTTCTCTCTTGTTATACCCTTGCAGAGGGTATTATGATTTCAGTCAGAAGTTTGCAACGCAGTGAAGGAGACGTCTCCGACCCCATAAAGTATATATATTCTTGATCAGCATCACTAGACGAGTCGATCTAGCCATGTCCGTCTGTCGGTCTGTCCGTCGGTCTGTCTGTCCGTCCCTACGCAAACTAGTTTCTCAGTTTTAAAGCTATCGGCTTGAAACTTTCCCAAAAGTCTTCTTTCTATTGCAGGTAGTATATAAGTCGGAATCGACAACTATATCTTATAGCTCCCATAGGAAGGAAACGTTAAAAAATTCTATCTTCGGTGTTTTTTAAAATAAAACCTTTTACTCTTGGAAATATTATTTTTTTAATATTTCCGAATTTTGAATAAAATATTTAAAAAATTGGACGACTATATCATATAGCTGCCATAGGAACGATCGGAAAATTAATGGGAAAGTAATAGGAAATAAATTTTAGCTTTTTTGGTTTTTATTGTATTCCCTACTTTAGGACATGACTCTCTTTAAATATTTCCGAATTTCAATTTTAATTTTATCAAAATCGGACGACTATATCATATAGCTGCCATAGGAACCATCGAAAAATTAAATGCAAATTGAATTATTAGGAATGATCTGCAAGCTATATGATATAGTGATCCGATTTTTTAAATATTTAATTCGAAATTCAGAAATATTTAAAAAATAATATTCCAAAGAGTGGAAGGTAATATTTCAAAAAACACCGAAGCTAGATTTTTTTAACGTTTTTTTATACCCTTGCAGAGGGATGTGCATAAAGTTAGCAATGCAACTTTTGAAATGGCAAATTTTTTTCTATCGACAATTTGCCGTTATTTATCCGTAAATTATTCGTGAAAGAAAAAAATTTGCCGCTCAATTATTTTTAAAATTATGAGATGTTCTGCTAAGTTGATATCAACTTAGCAGAACACCCCCACTAAAGTTCAAAATTTCCAAAATCTTTTTTAATGAGAATTTGCCGTTATTTATCCGTAAATGATTCGCGAAAGAAAAAATTTAGTTGCTCTTGTTTTAACATTTTTTTTTAAAAAAACATCTCATAATTTTAAAAATAATTGAGCGGCAAATTTTTTTCTTTCACGAATAATTTACGGATAAATAACGGCAAATTGTCGATAGAAAAAAATTTGCCTTTTCAAAAGTTGCATTGCTAACTTTATGCACATTGCAGAGGGTATTATAATTTCAGTCAGATGTTTGCAACGCAGTGAAGGAGACGTTTCCGACCACATAAAGTACCTATATATATTCTTGAAAGTTTAAAATTTGACTTTTACAAAATTTTTTAACTTTTCAAAGGGTGCTTAATGGGCTAAGAACATTTTTGTGTCATTTAAACGGAATTGAAGTGCTCTTTCTATAGGTGCTAAAAGTTTATATTATAAGGTTAAAATATGTATTTCTATTTCGATTGTGTATTTCTAATACACAAGGAAGGTGTGTGTCATTATGGTATAAGTTCCAAAATAGGTCGAATTTCTTCGTGAAACTTTCATGACACATTTTTATAAGTTATTCTAACAATTTAAGTAATAAAAAATATTTAGTTCTTATTAATTCTATATGTATTTTCCCCTTTTTTAAAATTTAAAATATTAAATTTCGTACTTTTTTGAATTTCTTCTTATATCCTCAGCTCATATCCACCCAATTGGGCCAGTTTTCATTTAATTTTGAAGTCAATAGATCAGAGCTTAGCTTTGTCAACGGCTGTATATTTCGTAAAAACTCGAAACAAATTTGTTGAAAAATCATAATGGGTACAAACTTAAAGTTTACCTCCTACCGAATTAAACAAGCCGAGTATGACCCACAATTCATGGAAAATTGGATTTATGGTGGATTTTTAAAGTTCGGATTTTTCAACTTTTTTTGATCGACAGAGCCCAAATTTAAGTTTTATCAAAGGCGGCGACATGTAAACAAAAACAAGAGAGAACGCTACAGTCGGGTGGGTGTCCCGACTATCTGATACCCGTCACTATAAAACTTTGATTGCGTATACCTTTTTAATGAATGGTCCGAATGTAGAAGACATTTTGATAGGTATTTTTAAAAACTATAAAATTGCATGTATATATTTTTACAATCTTAAAAGATGTGGCCGCCAGACATATTTTAAAATCGTTTATGACGATCGTGGGCGTTTAGGGAGGGGGCGTGGCACCTCGATGAAACAAACTTGCGCTGCATAGGAAGCCCAAGAATATTTGTGGGAAATCCCAACTTTCTAGCTTTTGTAGTTTCAGAGATCTCAGCGTTCATACAGACGGACATGGCTAGATCGATTCGGCTAGTGACTTTAAAAATGAACGCAATTTTCTGCTTTTATACACTAGGGGAGAGCAGTGTAGTTGGGACAGTCGTCTTTCTTAGATTCCAATAAAAAGTTCGTTATTATTTGATTTTTAATAACAAAAATTAAAAAAAGAAAAGAAAAATGCTAAAAAAAACAGAGGTAGCTTTGTGCCAGTACATTCGTTTGACATTAATGAAAATGTAAATCGTCCAAAAAGCCTTTTAGATTTAGTTGCAATGTGGACCAAAAACTTTAAAGAGGCAAGAGGAAGACTAACTAAAATAGATTAAATTAACAAAAATAATCAAAATAATAGTTTCATAAAGTTGAGTACCTAACACAGACCTCTGCCCTATAAATATTAATTTGTCGGTAAGTATTTCTTTTCAGAAAGACGACCACGACTGTTGCATAACTTTTGGGTAATATCGCTACATTTTTTAATCCGTATTTTAAGCGCAGCATTGGCTTTCGACAATGGGCATATCTGAAAAAAAAAACAAGAGAGAACGCTATAGTCAGGTGCCCCGACTATCAGATACCCGTTACTCAGCTAAAGGAAGTGCGAAGGAGATGGAGATAAAAACTTTGATCCGCCGTAACTTTTTAACGAATGGTTCGATTTAAAAAATTTCTTCTACATTTCGATAGGTATTGATAAGCACCATAAAACTGCATTTTTACTTTTCCGAAATATTGAAATTTTTAAAACGTATATAACCGATTGTGGGCGTTAGAGGGGGCGTGGCACCTCTTTGAAACAAACTTGCGCTGCGTAGGATCTCCTAGAATCTGCATGCAAAATGTCAATCCTCCAGCTTTTATAGTTTCCGAGATCTCAGCGTTCATACAGACAGATAGACGGACAGACGGACAGACGGACAGACAGACGGACAGACGGACATGGCTAGATCGACTCGGCTAGTGATCCTGATCAAGAATATATATGGTTTATAGGGTCGGAAACGCTTCCTTCTACCTGTTACATACTTTTGCACGAATCTAGTATACCCTTTTACTCTACGAGTAACGGGTATAATTATATGGAAAGCGTACTTAAACACATCCCATAATTTATAAAACATCTCATAATTTTAACTTTTTCTATAATTCCCCCGTACAATCGACCACGAAAATTTTTTCAGCGATATTATAACAATAATTGTGCCCGAAACGGCGCCTCAGGCAGATTGAGGAACGCACCCGCCTGCTGCCAACTTGTTTACACAAATTTTAATTGGTGTAATTATGATTTTTACACGAAATTAATTATGCATGCGCGGTTGCGGCTGCATCTTTGCTTCTCGTGGTTACGTCCGATATCCAACCACGAAGAGACTCAATCCTAATCTAAATTTTATAAACCATCCCAAGTGGCCAAGAATAATCATTCAAGGTATTTACAAAGAATAAGGGGGAAAGCGAAAGTGAGGTCTGGGGAACTTTAATTGCCAAACATATTTCCACTTAATTACCTCTGAGATCATCAGAAAATTATGAAATTCAGGGGGCAGAGACCCAGCCTCATTGCGTGTCTAGCGAAGTGTGATGTTGCCAAAGACTGTAATTGTGAGGAGAAAGATCTAGATACATAACTGCATCTGCGAGATAACAATCTGTGCAAGAGCCGTCGGTCTGACCTGGCTGACGATGCCGCCGCTTTTCTTGTAATTTATAAAATACAGCAGATTAGTTAGATTAGCCCAAGATGTTGACAGTTTGACTCTTTCTTGATTTGTGTGAAATAATTTATGATTATGAAGGGGATCGTCACAGTTAACGGGTTAAGAATAGAATCTTAGCGAGATATAATTTGTATATTTGTGTATAAATTGGGTATATTATTGTATATGCATATGTATTGTGAAATACTGTTTACTAATTTTAATGTTTTCCGAAAAGCTTAGTCACTTTGATAGTAAAAGTAAAAATTTTACTTATCTTAAGTTTATATCCTAGCAATTTGTTGCCTTTTTCACTATCAACTCACCTAAATATTCCAAGTTAGACGAATTAGATGATAGTTGACTTAAGGTGTATATTGATTGTATTCCGTTTGTAGTTTGTCAAAGAGCGTAGCAAAAAAATATATAATTCTCAAATTCCGAGAACTGTTCACTGGGGCACTAGAAGATACTCTATCTTTTGGTTTGTTTCGATATGTTTAAGCACTCCTTGGGCATTTTCTCAGGTAGCACATTTCACACACTTTGCCGCACTTTGCTGCATGCAGCCGCAGGTGCACAATTGCCGCATCTTGCAGTGCCAAACTGCACTCTATATCCAATTCGAATCTCTGCACTCGCGATGCGCGCTCCTCTCGGATCGGATCTTTCGGAACTCCACGAGATGGCTCCAGCCGATTTATTTGTCCCGAACAGGGGGATTCTATTCGATTCGCGACCGCGCTGCGAGGAGCCAGCCTTGTGTTGTTGTGTTGTTCTTGCGAGCGCTGGGATGAGACTGAACAATTGACAGGGGAACGGCGACTGCGACTGCGATGGGACTCCTTTCTACTCTTGTAACGCGCGGAACGAAGGTCGACGAGCGATTGAATCCGCCGAGCGGTGTAACTTGCAGCGCACCACTCAGTTGCATGTAATGTGTGGATGCTAAGAGAGCGCTCGAGAAGCGAGTTTTGTTTCGTCGAGTTGAGTTGCGCGGACTTACTCTTCGACGGCCTCTCTTCTGTGGATTCTGTGCGGTCGGCTGCTTAGGTCAACACAAAGTTCGGATATGCAGCAAAGGACCTGTGAATATTTAAAACTATTATTGAACTGTTTAAAAAAACACACAATTGAGTTGGAAGTTGCTCTTCTGTATTGCACCTTGGTAAAAGAAAACCGATAATGTAGGGAACAGAGGTTTAGCTTACCGAATTACTGAACAGTTCTCCACCATGTTTGCTTTCTGCCAGTCTGCCAGACTCTGCAATAGGATACATTTACCTGGGCACTTCACCTGTCCAATTTCTCTCTCCTAATGAATCCCCTAACTAGAAAGAGTTTTCGCGTATAAGAGTTTTCTTTGCCATCTGTTCCGCTGGCCGAACGAGTAGAATCTGAGAGAAACAAAACAAGAGCGAATTTAAACTGTTGATTTGTTTTTTTTACTTTCCCCTCCTTTTCGTTACGCCCGGTTTTCCCGGCGAATTCATCTTGCTGTCGAAAATAGAAATGGTGGACTTCCGCCAATCGCGGACACTGACGAATTATAATAATTGTATTTAAAGATATTACAAATACAACTTGTGATAATGTGTTAAATTACCAGAGCTCAGTACAATTGGGATATCTACGCAGAAAATTTCCATTCATTCACAAATGTAGTAAAAACAAAACATAAATTTTAGCTACAACACGACAAAGCTGTATTACAGCTTTTCGGAAATATTTTTTTTGTTTTAACCATTAACAATTTTTTTTCTGATAACACTTACAACCAAGACGTTCCCAAACGAATGATGGTATATTCAATTCTGTGTTGGACCCCTGGAAAACAAAATATTTAAAGATGGCTTCTTTCTTGAATTCATTGGTGATTTTCGGCATTAAAAAGGTTGAAAGTGTTTTGGCTTCCGACGGCCCAAAAAACATGCAAGATTTTTAATTTGCATCGCAGTGAAGGAGACGTTTCCGACCCTGCAAGGTATAAGTTTGAAAAGAAAGTAAATGTCGGTCAGTATAACTTACTGCAGCAGTTGCAATCGTCAACTAATCGCCAGGGCAACAGAACGGTATACCGTTATATACACTACTGGTCAAAAGAATAAGTACACACGTTACACCCTCACTTGCTAAGAGATATCTCTATAGTTATTGAGGCCAGACCTCCCAAACCTTTTTATTTGGAAAGGTTATTCTGATCTGCAATATTTAAATAAACAATGGATACAGTAAAACCTGTCTAATCCATGTTAGCCCTACATTTGTGCGATAGGTCGGTTTTGGTGTGGTCAAAATAATAAGTACACTTGTGTTACTTATAAATTTTAAAATATTAAATCTAGAATGGGGCTACGGTTAGTATTTTATCTTAAGTTAGGATCATGTTTATAAGAAGTCTGGGCCAATTGGACGATCCAAAAAGTTTCCAAGCCTGGATTTGGTTATTTCAAAGTCATCATCCATGCTAAAATCTGATTTGCAGCTTAAAAGGAACACTTAACACTTAAGTATGGCTTGTGATTCCCTAAAATTTCCTTAAAAATACTACTCTGAATAAATAAAACCGATTTGGAAAAAAATGAGGTGTAAGTACTCATTATGAAACATATCTCATTTTTTTAGTCGTTTTATCTACTATCAAAATAAAATTTAAAAAATTAAGAATTTAAAATTTAACTATTTTTTTTTAAATTAAAACCGCATGTAACTTTTGTTTTTTTCTATTCATTTCCCCTTTTTCCTTATTTTTTACGGTGTAAGTACTCATTTTTTTCCAAACGGTTTTATTTATTATTACAGTTGATTTTGCCAAGTTTTTTTTTTGTGTGTATGGAAAGAGCACTTCAATTCCGTTTAAAGGACACAAAAATGTTCTTAACCCATTAAGCACCCTTTAAAAAGTTAGAAAATTAGACGATTCCTTTTTAAAGCCAAATTTTAAACTTTTTTCCTGGGGCTTAAAACAAAAATGTTTTGATGCAAAGTTGTTCCCCAATCAAAATTAATAATAACTGCAAAAAACAAAATTTCAAAATATTTTTCCTTGTATTTTTTATGATTTTTTGAAAATAGCTATTTTAGCCGCTTTTTCTTCCTTTTCATACAAAATTTTGCTGAGATGTCTCCATTCAAAAAATCATAAAAAATACAAGGAAAAATATTTTGAAATTTTTTTTTGCAGTTATTAATAATTTTGATTGGGGAACAACTTTGCATCAAAACATTTTTGTTTTAAGCCCCAGGAAAAAAGTTGAAAATTTGACTTTCGCAAAATTTGCTCACTTTTCAAAGGGGTCTTAATGGGTTAAGAACATTTTTGTGTCATTTAAACGGAATTGAAGTGCTCTTTCTATAGGTGCCAAAAGTTTATATTATAAGTTCAAAATATGAGTACAGTTAACATTAAAATTTGTGAAAATACTTTTGACCACCCCTGTATATAAAATATATAAAACAAGAAAGGAAGCTAGCTTCGGCCAGCCGAAGCTTATATACCCTTGCAGATCATTCCTATTAATTAACAAATCGCAAAAATGTTCAATTTTCTTATATTTCTCATTAATTTTCCGATCGTTCCTATGGCAGCTATATGATATAGTCGTCCGATTTTAATCAAATTAAAATTGAAATTCGGAAATATTTAAAAAGAGTCATATCCTAGAGTAGAAGATAATACAATAAAAACCAAAGAAGCTAGAATTTATTTCCTATTACTTTTCCATTAATTTACCGATCGTTCCTATGGCAGCTATATGATATAGTAGTCCGATTTTTTAAATATTTAATTCGAAATTCAGAAATATTTATAAAATAACATCCCCAAAAGTAAAAGGTAATATTTCAAAAAACACCGAAGCTAGAATTTTTTTAACGTTTTCTTTTCCGATCCTTCCTACGGGAGCTATAAGATATAGTTGTCCGATCCGGTTGGTTCCGACATATATACTACCTGCAACAGAAAGAAAACTTTTGGGAAAGTTTCATCCCGATAGCTCAAAAACTGAGAGACTAGTTTGCGTAGAAACAGACAGACGGACAGACGGACGGACAGACGGACGGACAGACGGACGGACAGACGGACAGACGGACAGACGGACAGACGGACAGACGGACATGGCTAGATCGACTCGTCTAGTGATGCTGATCAAGAATATATATACTTTATGGGGTCGGAAACGTCTCCTTCACTGCGTTGCAAACTTCTGACTGAAATCATAATACCCTCTGCAAGGGTATAAAAATTCTTCAGTCTTTTGCTCCCCCTTACTGTTGCACCACTTGAAAAGTTATGCTTTTTTGGGTCCCTTAGGGCCGTTTTCTCGTCCGTTTGTTAAATTTAAAGTAAGGTTAAAACCTTAAAATCGTATGGGAAATCAGAGTTTTAACCCAGGCGGACGAGAAAACGGCCATTAGACTTAAAAAAGTTATCGCTTGACCACCTATGGTCTTAAACAATCCGTTATTTTCTCATTTCTGGCCATGAAAAAAGATACACCTGTTCCTTATTCATGCAAGTCGACACGTCCGTTTGCACGATATATATCTTTTATTGTAATCTTTCTATACACAAAAAAAACTTGGTAAAAAATTGTCAAACAGTACACAACCACAAGGGCAGGGAAGGGCTTTGCCATCAAAGTGGAACTGTGTACTTTAATAATAAAAAAAATCGGAGGTGGGGGTGTTAATATGGCACGTCCCATAAATTAAAACTTTTTTTCATGGGTGATCTGACTCCAAGTGATATCAATTGATTAGCCGCACTCAAGGAACTCGTTGTAGAATTCTCAAAATTGTGTCACCGATTGTTCAAACATTCAAAAGTGGCAAGAACAAAGGGCCTGATCAACCAGTGCGACCAATCAATCAAATGTTTGCCGGAGCTACCACAACCTCACAAGCTCTGCGATACCATCTACAAGAGCCCCTACGATAATTCTTCACGGATCAACAAACCAGACGGGTCTGTAAATCACCTATATTGTCGAGCAGAACTGTAACACTTCATAATAATATGTCGTTTTGGCGTTTGTAAACCAAATGCATTTTAAAACTAGAGAGAACGTTATAGTCGGGTGCCCCGACTATTAGATATCCGTTACTCATGTAAAGGGAGTGATAAACACAATAAAACTGCATTTTTACTTTTCCGAAATATTTAAATTTTTAAAATCGTATATAAGCGATTGTGGGTGTTAGAGGGGGCGTGACACCTTCTTGAAACAAACTTGCGCTGCGTAGGAACTCTAAGAATCTTCATGACAAATACCAATCCTCTATCTTTTATAGTTTCCGAGATCTCAGCGTTCATACGGACGGACAGACGGACCGAAGGACATGGCTATGTCGACTCGGCTAGTTCAGGGTCAATATATATATATATACTCTATAGGGTCGGAAATGCTTCCTTCTAGCTGTTACATACTTTTGCACAAACACAATATACACTTTTACTCTACGAGTAAGGGGTATAACAAGAGAGAACGTTGTAGTCGTGTGCCCCGATACTATCGATACTATCAGATACTTGCTACTCAGCTAAAGGGAGTGCGAGGGAGATGGACATATGAAACATTGATTGCGCATAACTTTTTAATGAATCGACCGATTTAATAATTTGCAAAACCCTCAATTTTACTTTAAAAAAACTCTTTAAAAATGCGGGCGCCAAAGGGTTTTATAGGCGTAAATGTGGGCGTTGCACTCGTTTGAAGCAAACTCGCGTTTTATAGGCACTATTAGAATCAATGTGAAACATTTTGACCCTCTATCTTTAAAAATGTGGTTGCAAGAGCAACAGATTTAGTTTTTTCAAAAAAGCGCCAGCTATTGGGAAAAACTTTATTTGCTCCTTACTTTTTAATGAATGGTCCGATTTGAAAAATGTTACTCTACGACTA